TCTGTTGTAACTTCACCTTTTTCATTCTTAATTGCCTGGATTTGAGCCTTTTTTTCCTTTTTCTGATAAGGTTGCGTAAAGATTTATTGATTTATTTATTCTTTCAAAAAACTAACTCTTTGATTCATTGATTTTTTTTTTGTATCATTCTCTTAGTCTCCATTGCATTGATTTGTGCCCTGATCTTTATAATTTCCTCTCTTGTATGAGCTTTGGGTTTGTTATGCTCTTCTTTTTCTAGGAGCTTGAGGTTCAGCAGTAGGTTGTTTATTTGAGCTCTCTCTGTTTTCCTAATATGGGGATTCACTGCTATGAATTTCCCTCTTAGAACTGCTTTCATTGTGTCCCATAGACTCCTGTATGTTGTACTGGCATTATCACTTACTTGTAGAAACTGTCTAATTTCTTCTTTAATTTCCTCTGTGACTCTTGGTTGTTCAGGAGAGTGTTATTCAATTTCCATGTGTTTGTAGGGGTTTTGGAGTTTCTTATGCTATTGCTCTCCAATTTTTTTGCATTATGGTCTGATAATATACAGGAGGTAAGTTCAATACTTTTTACATTTACTTCAATATGTCCTATGAGCTAGCATGTGGTCTATTTTGGAGAATGACCCATGGAGCACTTGATTCTTAAACTGAGCTCTGTTTGTGAGATCCATCCATATGATGTAGGTTGCAGCCATTAATTTATCTTCACAGAGATTCAGTATTTTATTGGATGAATGTATCATAACTCATTTATTTTTCTGTTGATGGATGTTTGTTTGCATTATTTCTGGTCTTTAATTCTTCCCAATAATGCTCTATGGGTACTCTTGGCTGTTATCACTTGGTGCCCATATGCATGAGGTTTTTTTTTTAAGGTATCTTCATAGTAGGGGGTCTCTAGGTAGGAATACTAAGCTGTTTTCCTAAGTGGTTGTATTAATTTAGAATCCCATCAGTGAGTATGAGAATATCTCTCTTTATAAGTCTTTATCAAAACTTTGTATTGTCAGTCTTTGACATTTTTGCCAATCTGATGGGTATTAAATAAAACCTCATTGGAGTTTTACCTTTAAGTTCCTTGTTTACTAATGAGGTTGAACATGTTTCATATGTGTATTAGGGTTCTAAGAAAAACAGTACCAATAAGATGTGTATATAAGTAGAAAGAGATTTATTATAAGGTATTGGCTTATGTGATTATGGAGGTTGGCAAGTTCAAAACCTGCAGTGTAGCCTAGCAGGCTGGAGCTCTGGAGCTCACAGATTCACTCATGTGATCACCAAGTCAGTTGCTTTTGGCTCTTTGTAGTACTCTACGGTCTGTATACATGTTTAACTTACTTGCCTCCATGGTGATGGGCACTAGGTTGACTCTGACTAATGCTCACTGAACATCTTCATACTTTTTCATATATGACCCTTTATGAACATTATGAGATTCTTTTCTTTTTCTTCTGTTTCCTTTTTCCTTCCTTCCTTCCTTCCTTCCTTCCTTCCTCCTCCTTCCTTCTTTTTTCTTTTTCTTTTTTGCAGTATTGGGGATTTAACACAGGGCCTTTGCAGTGAGCTATATCTCCAGTCCTTTTTATTTTTCACTTGATGCAGGATCTCACTAAGTCACTAAGTTGCCCAGGCTAG